TGCCTACGAACTAATCTTCTTTGCCCAGAGCAGGCAGTTTCACGATTTGTTAAATCATTGGCATCAGTCCCCATTTCCCTCACCTCCATCTTCACCCCTCGCAGCCTCCCACAAAAAAACAGAGATTAGATCCCAGTCCATATTGATACAATCACAGCCATCGAATAATGCTAAAGATGCAACACTTTGCAATAATTTTATTATATTTTTTTACAACTTTCTCTGGAAAAACATCACATTGGTTTGCGGTAGTCTTTACTGATACTCGAATGGAGACGACCTGCACCACTTGAAACAAAATAAACATCGCCTTTCTGCCATTGCTTCGAACGCCTTACAAACTCTGTGGACCTTTTCCTTTTCGCAAAAAGCTTTCTTTGCCTCGTTTAATTGCTTCAGGAAGGTCTTGGCGTGCTGTCCGGTCTTAACGCTCGTAAAATCCTCGAAGACTTGGGGAAACCTCATGTCGTCGTCATGTCCGGTCATGGACGGCCTTGGATGTCTCTCGCGCGAAAACCATCTTCCACAATGCAAGCACTTTCTCGTGCGCCGTAGAGCGCGGAGTAAAGATTTTTTCTTGTCCATCATGATTTTAGCGTAAATTTTCATGTAATCTTCGTCAGTGCCTCCGGGTAGGTAAAGTTTACACGTTCGCAAGATGATCGTCTGAGAACGAGTCACGGGTGCCATGCTTTCTTTTTGCTCTTCGCGTTTGCAGCGGTAAACTGATGGCTGTTCCACGACCCGTTTGTTGCGCTTTTATGCTTAAACTGTGATGACGCAAGGACTACGCACAGGAAATGACTTTACATCTACGTATCGAAATGCCCAGCCCAGAGAAACACCCCCAAGACCACGAAACATCTACGTAACGGGGAGTTTTCCATTGACGACATTCGCGTCGCGCTCTCGCCAAACGGTATAAGGAACTGCCTGTCTTGCCAAAAAGTCCAGACGAGTCGAACCGACCGGCAAGAGAAGAACTGAGAGAGAAACCAAAAACGACACGAACAGAAATCAATCCACATGGACCGAACCGAAGGCGCGCCAAATTTGGAGTTCTTTTCGGATGAGGTCAGACGAGAATGGCGAGGAAAATCTTCAGGCTACATTTTGCAGAGTGCGGCTTTTGCGATTGCGTGTTTGACTACTGGACCGACTCCGTACCAGCCTATGGATTATGATCACATTGAACCTGCCACAAAGGTGCATCGGGGCACCAAGGACGAGACAGTTCAAAGCCCGAAAACAGCGAGAAGCGTGGCCAAAACATAGGACACTGTAACGAATGGGTAAAATGATATTTGATTGTTGGGATTTTTGTTCTTAAGATAAAATTATAGTAGGAGTAAATTGTTAGACTATAAAAAACATTAGCCCTCGTTGAAATCCAACTAAAGTGTTCCAGTTTCATTCATCATGGAAACTCGTCGACCTCTAGACTCTCGTTACGGCTATGACTTTGTGCCTCAGAAACTGAAAGAAATTGTGAACGATGGCTCGGTGGACCGGCTGTTTGTCATCAAGGAAGAAGATTCTCAGATGAATATTTGGAAGTGGCTCGAAAAAGTATTGGACAAGTTGACACGTGAAACGGCCGTGGTGTGTACGGAAACGATGTATCAAAATACACTGACCTTGATGCAACAGATTTGGGGCGGCAGTGAAAATGTCGCCGCCTACGAGCGCCTTACAGCCTGGTTTAATAAGACAGACGATTTTTCCCGTCATTGGTTGGATCATGACGATGAACCCGAAAGATGATCTCGTAAAGAAGGGGACTAAGACCCAACAAATGTGACTCTTTTTAACTATTCAATGAAGAAATATGTTGTGAACTAATAAAATCGACACGTTTTTTTATTACTACAAATATTTGTGTCTATCATTGGTTGTTCTTTAATTGTAGTGATTATTCAGGTTGATAATCTCCTTTACGAGTTTTTTGTAATTCTGTAAGTAATCGACTCCTTTATTGGTTAGTCGTTGAAAAAACGTGAAAAGCATCGATTCTGTTTCCCCTTCTTTTTGCTCTTTTGTTCCAAGTCTAGTAAATGCCATGCTAATTGAAGCTGTAGCCAGCAAAGACGGCGGATACATAAAAAACGTGTCATCTGTATAGCACGAGGCGATTAAAGTTGCTGCATACTTTCTGATCGCACCGGCGTTGGAAAATGAGAATCGGGCAAAAAAACTGCTCGAGATAATCGTAAGGTGTTACTGCTGACAGGTCCCACTGAATTTGTTCAAGTACCTTCATTTCCCAAACTAATAACCCTTCGCTCGTTATCGAGTCATCCGTGTACGTACATAGTTTGAACACCCCGAGCGGCGAGGTATCTCTAAATTTGCTAGCGACTAACAAGCACGCGGCACCAAGTAATTGCAGTTTGCATTTTCTCGTTGGTACAATCGATAAAAATCGGTCTAAATAATTCACTGCCAAGACAAATACATCTTCCTCGCACATTTGCTCTTCGCAAACGTCCTGCATCCATGTCGTAACCATCATTCTCATATGTGGTTCAATCTCGTTCTGTACACTGTCAAAGTATCGACAACTGGGGATATATTTATCCTCGCGGGTAAGTAAATTTTGAACAACGCGATCGTCTCCAAGCACCGCCGGGTCCGGATACGCGTGACGAACCTCTCGTTTCCCGAAGCCCAGAAGCTCCATGTATCTGCCAGAAAATAGAAAAGACCCAAATACTACACTGTTCACTTATAAATGCCATACAAAACAATTAAATTTTGAATTTGCCAATTGAAAGAATGTCCCGTGCAACACGCGAAATGTTCGTCTTTGCCTTGACTCCCTTACCCACGAAGGGTAAAGTTGGCTCCATTGCCTGCGAGTATATGATTATAGAGCATTCGTCAATATAACCCGCCAAGCTGACAATGTTCTGCGAACAGAATGAACTTCCCCTTGCGGGAGCGCGTGTCACAATGGAGCAATAAAGTTGCCATAAACGTTTAACGAGCCAAACTCTCGGAAAGTGCAGAAGCAAGGTCTTTTCTCTTTCCTTTAGCAGCCGGTCGAATTTTCTATTGCGCGAAGTTTTAAAAACTCTCAGAGATTTAAGAACTTAGTTTATTTTATGTTTGTATCTCGTGGTACTAAAATCAGCAAACGTTAACAATAAATGCTACCCTCGTAAATATTTTCATGATACATTAAAACTTGTTAAAAGAAATCTTATCAAAAACGATAATATCGAGATAATACTTTCAGCGACTCAGAGTGCAGTCCATCAGCCTAGCTGAACTACTTTACACCGTAAAAGGAAAAGTAATCTCTGGTAAATTAAAGTTACTGACCAATTCGTAGCTGTACATTTCTCAAAGATTGAAGACCCTAGTTGTTTTATCTGTGCTTCGTATTTCTCAAATCAATAAACTTTAACCACAACTACTACTCTATCAAACATGTTAGTGGTACATTCAAACTTGTCAAAAAAATCTTTCAAGAAAATCAAGACTCCATACAGCTTTTGGTTGAACAAAGTCAATATTGATCAATCCACGGCAACGCGTTTGACAGTTTTTGAAAAAGCGACCAAAAATAATCTAAGTCTATAGTTTTACCGAGGTCTCTCGTTGCTAGGTCAAACTGTCGAACGATCGACTCCACCAATGGCCGCTTTTTTCTCTGTAATGGCTTTCGCCCAGACGCCAAAGTTCTCATCCTGTCGCACTGTTTTCCGCAACTGGTGTCCAAGCACAAACGACGACTGCAACACCTCCAATGGATGTATTTCAGTTTCCAAACGACCCTTGGTGGGCGGGAACCAGGCCAGTTTGTTGTCTGCCGATATCTCGAACTTGCTCAAATCACTAGAGTCCACCGACTGTAATGCGGCCACCATAAAAATGGTCCGCCCGATCTGTGCACAATTCTCTAGTTGGATCCAATCGAAGGGGTATGTATCGAGGGTATACAGCTTGTGCAAATCAGTATATATTTTAAAGGCAAACTCGCCGTTACTAGTGGAAACCACCTCCACGTCAGGCACCACTTCAGTCAGGTCTCCCACTTCCCTTAGCAATCGTACCAGGCATTTGCCCCTCATAGCTGTGTCGTAGTTCATCGGACCCACAGTTATCGTGCCTGGTCCTTGTACCGATTGACCTCTGGTTATCAACTCGGAAGCAATGGGGCCTTGAGGAGAACCGAGGTACAGGGACTTGTCTGCATTCGTGACATCCTCGTCATTATCATCGAGATCGGTGTTGTTGCACAGTTCACCGTTGAACAAATCGGACACTGAATCAACCACTGGGTTGTCTGCTGACTGGGTCGATTGAAGGGTCAAAGGCGGTACCGAGAACATTGGAGTGTCCGTCTCAATCATTGAACTGGCCGTCGGAGCCTCTTTGGCAACCACTTTCTCCACTGTTGATCTGATCGTGGCATCATCCAATGGGACATCGGGTTGGTCTCCAGTCAACTGCATGGTCAGGGGTGGTGGAACGGGACGAGTTGTCTCGCTAGTGGAACTTTCCATGCCTGTCTCGTTTGAGTTTGCCACCTGTGTTGCACTCGTATCCGTCATCGGTGTATTGAGTGGTGATGAATATCGTCCCCTCTCTCCTTCTTCTCCACCACTGTCATCATCACTCTCACTGCCCTCTTGGTCGCTTTCATAGTCGTCATCATCATCGTCATCATTATCATCATCATCATCATCTTCTGCATCTTCAGATCCGCTCGCGTTGGGGCTTTCTGCTGGCATCCCCTTCTTATTCTCTAAAACTATTTGTTCTTTTCGAGCACCTGCAACGGCGGCCACAGGTATCGTTACTGGTGGTCGGCGTATTTGCTCCGCCTTTGGCTGAGACAAGGCCACTGACGCAGTTGCAATGTCGCCATCCTCGACATCACTGTCTATCTCACAACTTCGTTTGGCTCTTTGTGCCTTTGACTTCCCTGGCAATTCCCGTGACGGTATTATCTCAACGATATCGTCCCCTTCGTCGTCACTGTCTAAGACACGCTTCCGTTTTGTGCCGACATTCCTTGGACTCGATGGCTCACGCGAAGGAGAGGGCAAGGGCGCCATTCGTCCCATTTGTTTTGGCACACTAGACATGAAAACGTCAAAGCTATTGATCTTAGACTTGGACAAAGTGTCTACAACCTCGTCAGACACATCTTTGAAATGGGACTCGGACCTTTTCGAATGCAAGCCCTCGCAACGGCGGAGATTGGCCACAAAAGTTTTAATCGTTTGCTTTTCTGAGGGAAACGATATCTTCATTCGGTCTCTTTTTTCCCTCTTTCGCTGTCCCGCTGAAGTACGATAGTCGCACGCTATTAGCGGTGGTCGTACGGTCCCGGGCTGCATCCTCTGTAGTTGTTTCATGTTCTCCTGATAGTCTTCATTCAGCACATTTAGTTTCAAGCTATTCATCTTTCTCACGCCACTCTTCATCACGCACAAAAGACATGCTAACAGCAGTTCTCGGTGCAAGTCCCCATTATTGTTATTGTCCAGATATGCATACGTCATCTTCAACATCAACATAATCTGCCCGAGCTTCGGGGTCATGGAAAGGAATAGGGTATCTTCTTCCATTCCCTCTGCACCTTCACCACTCTCCACCGTCACGGGGAAACTGTTCTTTTCAAGATCAAAGGTGCTAACCAACGTCGTTGGGTGATCATGATGACCATCGACGGGTTCCAGGCCAATGCTGATGGAACTTGGGGAACTCACCGTCACCGAGACGAGCCGATGACCACGTTGGTTGAGGGTCATTTCATGCTTCTGGAGGAACTCCTGCTCGGCCTGAGACATGTATCCCTTTCGTTGTATCCAATGAAAGATTGGGTAAAAACAGAGGCTGCTTGCAGGCCACACTTTACTGTTTGTCACAAGGTTACACGGCAAAACTTCACAGAGCAATTGTCGACCCCTCTCGGTCATTCGTAAAACCGGAGTCTTTTCCGTGACCTCGATAAGAATCAGTAGTCGACAGGCCAACATTCCGCGCAGCAACACCTCATCCGTCAGCGTCTCGACTTGAAATGCCTCATCCAGTTTCAGCATGATCTTTTCCCACGATACGGTCGACGTTTTGCAAGGGCGAGACAACATCGACTGAGATGCAAACTCGGGCATCGGTTGTGGAACTCTACACGTTTTAAAGAAATCCCACTGCGACATGCAGCCAACGTACAGATTGAAAGCTGAGAGATCAACCGATGATTTGCCCAGAGCGAACATCATCTTTATAAAATCTGCTTTGTCGGGATTTTCTGCTTCGGTAATTTTGCTCCAAAGATAAAACTGCCAGCTTGACGAACAATGATACTCGCAGATACATCTTGTCAGTAGATTGCGTCGATGGCGGTGAGTCTTCAGCTGGTCAAAAAAGTAGAACCTTTCCACATCGGACATGCAATCGCATTTCGAACAACGCATAGCCACTTCACAACTTATTTCAACGTACTTGGTTGAGATGTGACCAACGTTCTCTTTTGGGGCTGCCATGATCGAAGTTCTTCGTAGACTTTAGTCTTCTGGTTTGCTCTTCGCTCTTTGCTCTTCCCTCTTGGGTTTGCACCTTCAACTGGTTTGAGTTAGCCTCGAGCAAAGCTTCTTTTATAGCCGAGAACAAGCGATGGGCGATCACTTCGCGTCATCTTTCATCCAATGACGATCGGCCAACTCTCATCACGATATCACGCATCCAGATATTTCAATGGGAGATTTATCTCAAGGCGCAGTAAAGGCGTGACTTTCTTATCGGTAATATTGGCTCGTTAATTCCCTTGTGTCAGCTAACTATTGTTACTTAATGGGTGTTGGTGACACGTAACTGGATTATTAACGCGTACACACGCTAAAAATATCTCAGTGCAGAAATATCATATATTGCATGACAACATCCTTGCGTGTTGTTTATCTCAATGGGCATGACTCATTATGGGCGTCATAGGATCCGCGATATTATCTACTAATCTAAGTCATGCCCTTGACGAAGATCACGAACATTCTCCATCAAGAGATTAGTTATACACGCAAGAGGAATATTCCCACGGAAATTTGTTTTCATAAGCTAAAAATATCTCAGTGTAGAAATATCATATATTGCATGACAACATCCTTGCGTGTTGTTTATCTCAATGGGCCATTATGACTCAATATGGGCGTCATCGGATCAATGATATTATCTACTAATCTAAGTCATGCCCTTGACGAAGATCACGAACATTCTCCATAGATACACGCAAGAGATTAGTTATACACGCAAGAGGAATATTCCCACGGAAATTTGTTTTCATAAGCTAAAAATATCTCAGTGTAGAAATATCATATATTGCATGACAACATCCTTGCGTGTTGTTTATCTCAATGGGCCATTATGACTCAATATGGGCGTCATCGGATCAATGATATTATCTACTAATCTAAGTCATGCCCTTGACGAAGATCACGAACATTCTCCATCAAGAGATTAGTTATACACGCAAGAGGAATATTCCCACAGAATTGTTTTTCATCAGCTAAAAATATCTCAATGCAAAAATATCATATATTGCATGACAACATCCTTGCGTGTTGTTTATCTCAATGGGCATGACTCATTATGGGCGTCATCGCGTGAGAAATATTATCTACTAATCTAAGTCATGCCCTCGACAAAGATCCCGAACATTGAGGGTTACCAAAAACAGACACACACACAACTTTGACCGAATCGATCATTGTGGCGCAGAGTGGATCGCTTTTGTTTGAGGCCATTAAGTCTGGCCACGAGATGCCTGGCGCAATAAACACATGCACCGAGCCGACATGGCACAACATGAGATTGCGCGCCTTTGAGGGTTACAAAAACACACATACACAACTTTGACCGAACTGACCATTGTGGCGCAGAGTGGATCGCGTTTGCTCGGTTAAGTGCATAAAGTTTGGCCTCGAGATGCCTGGCGCAGTACACGCACACACCGAGCCGACATGGCACAACATGAGATTGCGCGCCTTTGAGGGTTACAAAAACACACACCCACACAACTTTGACCGAACCGACCATTGTGGCGCAGAGTGGATCGCGTTTGTTTGAGGCCATTAAGTTTGGCCACGAGATACCTGGCGCAATAAACACACACAGAGATAAAGAGTTAAAGACGGACTCTGTAACTTGATCTTTTCTCTATTGAACCGCATAATTGAAATGGATGGTTCTTGTTAGCGGCCCTCCGGTAGCCATTGCATATCTTTCATTACTTATACCCTCAAAGTAGACCCGTTTAATAAGTGACTCACGTCAAAAGGTAACATCGGCTCGGACACAGTAGTGGATTGTGAAATCGCGAAACCCAAGAAACAAGTCTACAGACCTCAACTCGTCCGATTTGGATCAGTTCGTCAGTCGGTTGGATTAAACGAAACGCAGCATCGGCTCGGACACACTAGTAGATTGTGAAACCGCGAAACCTGAGCAACAAGTCTACAGGCCTCAACCCCTCGTAAGAGATCGAGTGAACGCAGGAGTCTAAGACATGATTGGGAAATTGCCCACCAGATACAAAGCTCTGGGACCGGTCTTACTATTTTCCCTGTCTCAACTCGTCCGATTTGAGTCAGTTGCTAGTCAGTCAGTTAGATGGTGAATACTACCAACTTAAACTCATACTACAATTTAATTATTCATTAAATCTGGCTTTCTAAAGTAAGGAATATGATATTGCACCATAACATCCTTGCGTGTTATTTATCTTTATAGGCATGACTCATTATGGGCGGCAATATTTCTGCTAATCTAACTCAGGCCCTTGAAGGAGATCACGAAAATTCTCAACGGTGTTTTTGAGATGAAGAGATAAATTAAACACGCAAGTGGAATATTCCCACGGAAATTTGTTTTCATAAGCTAAAAATATCTCAGATGAGGAAGATAATATTGGATCATAACATCCTTGCGTGTTGTTTATCTTAATGGGCATGACTCATTATGGGCGTGATCGTGTGAGAAATATTATCTGCTAATCTAACTGATGCTCTTTACACGAAGATCACGAACATTCTCAGCGTTGTTGTTGAGAGGAAGAGATTAATTAAACACGCAAGTGAAATATTTCCACGGATTTTTTTTTACGCGCTAAAAATGTCTCGAGGGGAAATGCAATATCGCATTGCAATATCAGACCTCGTCAAATTGTTGTTTCAAGAAAATCAGTCAATGGCTGTGTTCGCACGGAATATGAATAAGTACTTAATTTGGCCGCACTTGCTTGCAATATGGTTTTTAAAACATTACGAAATCCTTTTGTTGCGCAAATAAAACATTCGTGGGGGCTCCTTCTTAATACATACGAAACCTTTTGTGTCGTTTCATTCCAAAAAGGATATGTGTATAAAAACGTTTCTAGTTTCTTGCGATAGACTGGTACTATTACAACAGTTTAATATCGATCGTGTTTGTAATACTTGCTTTAAATATTATCTTAAACTTCTCGTGTCTTTGCAAAATTCAATTTTTGAAATTTTCGCGCATGTTTTACTGTAACGGAGTGGGAAAAAGAAGGTAATTATATTCCTACCCTTTAAGAATTTATCTCCGTGTCTTGCTTAATTTTTCTCGAGAGATGGACATTAAACTCCTTTGATGTATGTCTTGACCTCATCGCCGTCGACTGAAAATAAAGAATACGAAGTCACGAAAACTCAATTTTGTGCTTTAATCATTGCGTGATTTCGTGCCAGGGCCAGGGGCGATTAGTTGCTCGGCAACTGTTTTTGTTCAACCTAGTTCCCAGTCTCTCCTACCCGTCCTAATCTTCTTGTTAGAAAGAAAAGGCACCGCAGAAATACATTTTGTGGCGTCAGAGCACCTGGTCAGCGGTATTTGAGTTCGTTAGGGTAGGTACGTTATGTATAGGAGGTTGTTGAGTACATTATAAATAATACAGTAAAAAGTACATTATAGGAGCACTATATGCACCCCATATATAACGTACCTACCGCGTGATCACTTGCTTGTGTTTGCTTCCTTTGCTGCTTCGCTTACATTGTGTTTATAAAAGGTTGAAGTCGGTTTTGTCGTGAATTAAACGGGAAGTCTTCGCTTTTTTCGAGCCTAGTTTTCTTTAATAGATCGTGAACCAAGCTAAAGGACTTCTAAATACAGTTGAAGCGAAGTTAGCTCGACTTCGTGTAGCGTTGCGTACCAGAAACTACAATGGAGAGCCAGAAAAGCAGAAGCTTTTGAACACTGGCAAGGTGTTTGAATGTAGCATTTGCATTTATAACATGTGATAGAGAGCATTTATAACATGTGCTTTAAACTGACCGCTCATGTTTACTGTACTTTGGCGAATCGCAAAGTATTTCAGTATTTAACTATTTTTGTGCTTATTTCTGTTTATTATCACTGCTGACCCTTCAGCTTCGAGTGATTTTTGCGATAACGCATTTCTGGTAACTACAGTAGCTATTTTCGACCACGTTTATTCGGTACGTGAAGATCTGGGGGCGATTTAGTTGCTTAGCAACAAGTTTTATCTAACCTCGTTCCCAGGGTTCTCACCTACCCGTCTTCTTGTAAAAAGAAAAAAATGGCTACCGCGGCCGCAAATTTTAATATTTTGCGAGGGTTTGAAGGTTAAAAATACACTGTTCAAAGACACCAGTGGAAATGGAAAGTTTAAAGGAGTGTTCAGTTTTCTCTTTGGGGACAGATGGAAGCTTTTGAGCACAAAAAGACGACAGCGAATCCTTGTTTAGGTAGGCTTAATACATCTCTCTTTTTGGTCACGAAAATTGCTATTTTAGCTAAGTGTCACCTACTTGTAAATGTGTTGTACACGTTTATACACTTCGACGTAAACGTTAAGAAAAGATAAATAAAAAAATGCGCCCCCATGTTTGTGTTAACTTAAAAATAAATTTGGCGTTGTGCATAATCTCAGAAGACGATTCATTTATTTCAACTTGTGGGTTTTCCATAAAAAATTTTCAAGAAATCATTTCTCAATGTTTTCTGTTGAAGTACAAACATTAACCATAAAGGACCGCAAACGAATATGCCGAAGAACGTAGAATCTATAAAGACCTGATCAGCAAAAATAATAATGTAGACATATTAAATTCTGCAAGCAGAATACTGCAGCAAGACATGAACACGACACCGAAAGAACTCAAAACAGAGCTCTTGTGTTTAGTCATTTATACTAAAGTCACATCAGTTCAAAACAACATCGTGAGAGCTTATTATTTTA